AACCACAATTTTATATCCAGTTTCCTTTTCAAAAGAGTTTATAGTGTACAGAGTATGTTACATTCTGCGTAAATGACCGTTTGTTTGGACAAAATGTTTAAAATATCTTATTTTTGTGAAAATGTGTATGTTTTTATTGTTTTATTTAATTTAGTTTACATTAATGCAAATATTATTTCATTTTGTAAAAATAATTTATTTTGAAAACATTTCTAGTTTTACAAATACACATTTTAGCATTATCACTAATCTGTGTGTGCATTTTCCTTAAAAACCCATCAAGTTGACTCACGATACCATTTATTATAATCGCAATCGCATATCGCAATATTGACCTCAATAACCGCAATATGAAAATTTTCCCAAATCGTGCAGCCCTAGTATAGAATATATAATACAGTATATATACTATATCCATTCAAAAGCTTGAGGTCAGTGATTTTTTTTTATTAAAAAAATTATTTATTCATTAAAGATGCATTAAAGTGATCAAAAGTGACAGTAAAGACATTTATAATGTTACAAAATATGTCTCTTTCATATAAATGCAGCTCTTTTGAACTTCATCAAAGAATCCTGAAAAATAAAAAGTATGATGGTTTCCACAAAAATATGAAGCAGCACAACTGTTTTCACAAATAAATTACACTTCACAATATAATCACATAGAAAGCAGTTATTTTCAATTGTAATAATATCACGGAATTTCCACTGTGACAGTAAAGACATTTATAATGTTACAAAAGATTTCCATTTCAAATAAATACTCAACGAATCCTGAAAAATTAAATGCATCACGGTTTCCACAAAAATATTGCGCAGCGCAACTGTTTTCAACATTGATAATAATCAGAAATGTTTCTTGAGCAGCAAATCAGCATCTTAGAATGATTTCTGAAGGATCATGTGACACTGAAGAGTGGAATAATGATGCTGAAAATTCAGCTGCGCATCACAGGAATAAATTACAGTTTAACAGATATTCACACAAAAAACAGCTATTTTAAATAGTAATAATATTTAGCAATTGTAAATCATTTTTCTGTATTTTTAATCAAATAAATGCAGTCTTGGTGAGCAGAAGAGACTTCTTTCAAAAACATTAAAACAAATTAACCTACTATAATAATAGAAATAAAATTTGACGAAATATACAATGTAGTATTATATTGCTTTACTATTGAGAAAAAAAAAAGCAGATTTAATGCAGCTATCTTGTTAGTGACTTATCAAAAGTGCAGTCAGGTGTGTGTTTACCTGCAAGGTAAGATTCTCACAACATCATTTGCTTTATAACCCTCGATACACACGGCACAGTTATCAAAATCACTCTCCGTCTCCTACAGGAAAAAACACACACATTATAAAGACAAAACACAGAGTGCAGGACTCTATATCAGCAGAACCCACTGCTTTAAAGACTGCCATATTGAATGTTTATTTGTTCACCTGATCGCCTTTCCTGATGGTCCGCACTTGTAACTGGCTGATGGCTTTTTTGGCAGCGTCGCCCAGCCTCCTCTGACCAATCAGAGAACAGAACATGATTAATAAACGCTTTTCTCCTTCGACTTCAGACTGTTATCTTCTACATCCGTCTCTCGTTAGAATAATTAAAGACTGAGGGCTGTAATGAAAGGCTCTGTTGGCTTCAGGCTGCGGTTGTTTTCCTGTGATGAAAGTCACTTCCTGTGGCCTGTAATCATGTTTTAGGGTCACGTTTAAACACAAACCTAGAGGTGGAAAGTAACTAATTACAAATACTTTCGTTAGAGTACTTTTTTTCTACTTTCTTGAGTATAATTAAATTGTGGTACTTTTACTTGAGTAGAATAAAACTAAAGTATTCAACTTCGCTACATTTATTTTTCACCAAAAGTACAAAAAATAAAAAATAGACAAAGGCAGCGCCGATGGAGAAGAGCGAGCCGGCGTTTGACGGGCACTTTTCAAACTCCTGGGGTGAAGCCCTGCACTTCAGCCAATAACAGACAGGTCTGACTCGGGTGCAAAACCAATCAAAACGTCCAGTTCAGCTGCGGGGGCGGGGCATTCAAACCGCACTTTGCTTTGACTGTCAATCACCGGCGTTGTCGTTTTAAATCAGCATCATTAGCGTTTCAGTATTTTAGTGGATGTGAGCTATGCTCTGATTTTAAATCGTAATTTTGTCAGCTCCTGAAATGTCAAAAAGCCAAGGACAAGCGCTTAACCATCTGCACCACAGGAGCTGATGTGTTACAGCCACTTTTAACTAAATGTAAATAGACACCCCGTATATATATTACACAGCAGTATAAGATAGTCTATGTATGACCGGACGATTTTTTCATATCCATATCCAAATAAGACGATATGAACTAGTGGTGGAAAGAGTACTAAGAAATTGTACTTAAGTAAAAGTATTGCTACTTAAGGAATACTTTACTGGAGTACAAGTAAAAGTACTGAAAAATAATATGACTCAAGTAAAGAGTAAAAAAGTCGTTTGCTGAAAAACTACTCAAGTTACTGCGTTACAAAGTACTTTAGTATTATTTTTCTATTTTTACCCAAAATGAGACGATGTGAGCATTATGGAGCAAATCCTAACACTCTATACTATAATGTACGGTGGCCGAGAAGTGCTAAACAAATCACAATTCTGAAAACAAAATAACAAATTACAAACGCAAATGCAAGTCTACAAAACAAAAGATAAGCAACATGGAACCACAGAAGCTATCTGTTTCAAACACGACTGATGTTATATAGTGATTTTGGAGCAAAACATGATATTAGTCTCATAATTTGTCATGTTTGACGCTATGTTAAGCAAACATACGACCTATCCCTGTTGCCAGGAGCAACTTGTCTAACTATTATCTAGTTAAAAGTGGTTGTAACACATCAGCTCCAGTGGTGCAGATGGTGAAGCGTGTGCCCTTGGCTTTTTGACGCGATCGATCAGGGGTTCGATGAAGAGCATTTTATTTAACATTTTAACCCATACCTAGGCTTGAGACTCCAAAATATATTCCAATTCTGGAATAGGATGCTTTTAAGGTCAGGAATCGTCTAGTTGTTATAAAATTAAAATTGATTCCTCTTATCGATTCCTTTGTGCGCATTTTAATATGACTGTAAACCATTCAAGCACAAGAAGACTCATGCACTGCTTTCTGTCCTGCAAACATAGGGCCATCATTTCAGAAATGAGGGGGACAGAAATGTGTGTAAAAAAAAAAACAAAAAAAAAAGTTGACAGGCTTTATTTTTTCTTGTGTATTTTAATTGGATAATAAATCAAATACACTGCTTGATGATAACCAATAATTTGTATTCTATAATATTTTTTTCTGTATTTTCCTAATGACAATTTTAGAATTGGTTTATACAAACACATAAGGCAGAATACTTGCTATACTGTATTAAATGTTACGTCAATTAGCACTGCATTATTCATATACTATATTTATTACCTCGAAATGACCTGAAATTACCTTTTTTTTAGCTACAGCAATAGCAGGATGCCTTTGTCCATATTAGGGATTTCCTGCAGGTCATAAGTTATTACTTCTACAAGGCCGTTTTGGACTTTCTGCGTGGCAGCGCCCTCCGGCTTCGAGTATGAATGAAACATGCACTGCATGAGAGTGTTCAGCGCTCAGTAATGTTCATATCTTCTCGTTTGGATATGGATATGAATAAATCGTCCGGTCATACATAGACTATCTTGTTTCTTCACCTATGTGCTGTGATTTTAATTGTTCTTTAGCCTGTTGATTTCCATTCATAGTATTTAGCTAACTACGAAATATTTTGAAATAAGTAATAATACATTTGAATGATATCTTAGATTATTTATTCATTTATTATTATTTTTAACCTTATTGGAATCGAAATTAGGAATTGACAAGAATCGGAATCATAAAAATTCAAACAATGCCCAACCTTACCCATAACACCACATTATTTTTTACTGGCACATTTCAGTTGTTTTAGACCCTTTCTTTTCTTTTAAACCTTCACTTACCCTTCTTTGCTTTTGCCCTTCTTAAAAACAACCACATAATCTTATACGTGAATGTACTTTTCAAAACTAGTTATAAAACTGTTGCTCCTGGCAACAGGGATAGGTCGTATGTTTGCTTAACATAGCGTCAAACATGACAAATTATGAGACTAATATCATGTTTTGCTGCAAAATCACTATATAACATCAGTCGTGTTTGAAACAGATAGCTTCTGTGGTTCCATGTTGCTTCTTATCACAGTGAGACGGGAAATATTTTTTATAAAAATCTTTACTGTGATACAAGCTATGTCAATTAGCGTTGCACTGCAATTGTGTGTTTCATCAGTCAAAGCGTCTCTATCTGCATGTTATTCAGCTGTAGTGATATCTGATGCATTTGTCCATATAAGGGATTTCCTGGGTCTCACTTGTGAAACAGACATTATAGTACAGAGTAGAGTGTTAGGAATTGCTCCATAATGCTCACATCGTCTCATTTTGGGTAAAAATAGAAAAATAATACTAAAGTACTTTGTAACGCAGTAACTTGAGTAGTTTTTCAGCAAACTACTTTTTTACTCTTTACTTGAGTCATATTATTTTTCAGTACTTTTACTTGTACTCCAGTAAAGTATTCCTTAAGTAGCAATACTTTTACTTAAGTATAATTTCTTAGTACTCTTTCCAACACTTTTTGCGGTGGGAAATGTCTAATTTTTTTAAATATATATTTTCTGATATATATATTTTTTTAATTCCAAGTTTGCTGTGCTTGTTTGCAGGGCTGCACAATTTGGCCAACTTTTTGGGTTTTTATAATCAATGTGGCTATGAAATAATAATAATAATAATAATAATAATAACAATAATAATAGTTTTATTTTTAATATATTATTCTTAATAATACTAAAGAAAAATAAATATTACTAAATAACAAAAAAATTAAATATCAATGAAACTACACTGTAAAATAAAAATGGGTAAACAAAATCATTATTATTAATATATTTTTAAATTGTATTATTATTTGTATAAATAATTATAATAATAAAATACACATAAATATGAATAAAATGTGAATTATTGTTAATGTAATATTTCACTGTACAATAAAATTTCAGTATTTAAGAAAAAAGTATATAAATATTTATAATTATTTTATGATTTATAATTTTATGATAGTAATTTTAATTTTATCTTATTTTCTTATCAAATAAAACATAAATAAAAATTAAAAAATTAATGGAATATTCCACTGTAAAAGAAAATAGTTTAAGAAAAAAATATAATTATTATTATTGCTAATTTTATTTGTATAAATGATAATAAAAAATATAAATTACAAATATTTGAAATATTATTAATGTAATATTTCGCTGCACAATAAAAGTATTTAAGTAGAACATAAAAAGTATAAATATTTTTCTTATATTTCATTATTAATAATATAATAATAATAATAACACATGGCAATTTTGAGTGAAACCAATCGAGACATACGATGGCTGCTGTTAGATCGGGTCTCCACGGCAGATAATAATTAGGATCCAGCCCCGGACGCCAGATCCCGTCAGAAAATATCAGTTTGTCCAGTAACAGAACAACTAGTCAGCAGAGCTGTTAATAGACAAACCCTGTTAACAGCCAGTCTTGTCTGGTATCCAAAAATACCCAAAACAAGTGAGTGTTTAACAGTCTTCTGTCGAGAAAAGCCAGAGTCGAGCAGAAGCAGGAGACGAAGTGATGATGGTAAAAAGTAAGAGTTTATTGAACAATCTTAGTTGCGTATGTCTCAATGTTCAAACTTCGTCTGATGAGCACAAATTCAGCAATAATGATATATCAAACTGATTCACAACATCATCCCATAAACCTTGGGTTTCCATGAACCCTCTTATCCATCTCTTATTCATACAGACAAAACAGTTCATGAAGCCCCACAAGCATGAGATTGAACAACAACGGAAATGCTTAAGCAAGGGAAAATTAATAAGAAATATAAAATATAGAAACATAATAATTGAATAAACAATAAATATACTTAATATAATGATAAAAATGATAAAATAATAAATCATATGAATGACTAATGATTATGCGAATACATGATTATAAATTAATTAAACATGAAAACACACACAATTTGCACGTGAGGATCTAAGGATCCTTCACTGCAAAAGGCATTTGGACACTTAGGCTGCACTTTCTGAGCACAAATTCAGCAATAATGATATATCAAACTGATTCACAACAACATCCCATAAACCTTGGGTTTCCATGAACCCTCTTATCCATCTCTTATTCATACAGACAAAACAGTTCATGAAGCCCCACAAGCATGAGATTGAACAACAACGGAAATGCTTAAGCAAGGGAAAATTAATAAGAAATATAAAATATAGAAACATAATAATTGAATAAACAATAAATATACTTAATATAATGATAAAAATGATAAAATAATAAATCATATGAATGACTAATGATTATGCGAATACATGATTATAAATTAATTAAACATGAAAACACACACAATTTGCACGTGAGGATCTAAGGATCCTTCACTGCAAAAGGCATTTGGACACTTAGGCTGCACTTTTCAAGCAAACAATTTCATAACCTAAGACGATGTTTGTCAGGTTTGTACCTGGTTGCGGTCCCTGGCGTTGGCGTATCTGAAGCGCTGGATGTAGTAAAAGACGAGCCAGGCCAGCGAGATGATCATGAGGATGATGAAGGAGATGGAGACGAAGACCACAGAGGTGCGGCTGACGTATTTCTGGAGGTTGCGTGTTCCGATGGTGATGTGCATGTGAACGGTGATGTTCCTCTCCATCAGAAGAACCAGATCACGACCCTTCGGCTCGGGAATCATGATGGCCACCACGTCACCGGTGCCTGAAACACAGAGCCACAGTTAACCAGCGCCTCAACTAGACTAACTTGCTTCCTCTGTGGGCAAAATAACCCGCAAAGAGGAGCAGAGTTTATCCTGAAATATAACCAGCACACAACCAATGCTCAAATAAACATATTTGTGACCCTGCCTGGACCACAAAACCAGTCATAAGTGTCAATTTTTCGAAATCGAGATTTATGCATCATCTGAAAGCTGAATAAATAATCTTTCCATTGATGTATGGTTTGTTAGGATAGGACAATATTTCTGAGAACGCAAAAAAATCGCCTTTAAAGTTGTCCAAATGAAGTCCTTAGCAATGCATATTACTAATCAAAAATTAAGTTTTGATATATTTACAGTAGGAGATTTACAAAATATCTTCATGGAACATGATCTTTACTTAATATCCAATTGATTTTTGGCATAAAAGAAAAATCTATAATTTTGACCCACACAATGTATTGTTGGCTATTGCTACAAATATATCTGTGTTACTTATGACTGCTTTTGTGCTCCAGGGTCACATTTAGATGAAGAAAGTTTAAAATGCTTATTAGTGGCACAATAAAAATGGAATTTAAACAGTCATGGATTTTGGCAAATTTTGGATGAATAGGCCTAAATTAAAAGTAGAGCTGAAGAATGAATCATAATTATTAAACCACAAAAAGATGTATGCATGTAAAACTATTATCAGATAAACAGAAATTCAAAAGGTCTTCACGCCAACCCATTGAAATAAAAGTTTGATTTAATTTGGAGTATATAACTTTGTTTAAGGAGCATCACAATTTTTCTTCTATGTTTTAATTTTAACAGTAAGCCTCTGTGTTGTGCAGTACTTCGTTTGCTATATAAACAAAATTGTTCATTTTCATTTGATTGTATTTTAAAATATTCTTAGCATTTATAATTGTTATTGTTTCAGGTCTTTATTTGATTACCACAGTTTTTGATTTAAAAAATTGGTACCAAATCAAAAATCCAGATAAAGCAGACAATAGATAAAAAATAAATAAATAAGGCACTATTATTTTACAAATTGTAATGATTATTAAATTGTTCAAGTTTTATGAACTCACTTAATTATATACGTTTTTCAATTATTAATATTTTATTAATTTAAAACAGAATCCAGAAAAATTATGATGGAAAACCTGGATCTTGGGAAACAATGTAAAATAGATTTCATGTGGCCTTAAAAATTTACATTTTGTGATACTTTTAATACATTTTTGATAAATTGTAACATTCTGAAATAAAATCTGAAAAATGGGGCGGGGGTAATCTAAAAACATTTAAATGGAATAAAAATTATTTGGAAAAAACATTTACAAAAAAATGGATTTCACAGGTCTTAAAAACGTGTTTTTGTGATTCTTTCTGATTATTATGATTCAATGTAACCACTTAAAAAGAATCCAGAAAAATGTAAACGATAAAAAATAATCTAGAAAATTTTAAACTGGAAAAACTGAAAAATTTCATAAGGCCGTATAAATGTACTTTTGTTAAACTTTCAATAAATTGTTGTTAAATTGTTTAAATACATTGTTGTTAAAAATTTTTATTAATTAATTAGTGCTGGGCGGTATGACCAAAAATTTATATCACTGTATTTTTCAAAATTATACCGGTTTCACGGTGTATTTTTTTTTCATGCGTGACCGGGTGTTAAGCATATCTTCTACTGATTGAGAGGAAATGCTGCAGTATATTGAGTAAGAATGCCCTGTTTTACTGTCATGATGAGTGAATATTGTCAAAAAATACCACACTAAATAGTGACTAAACACGACCCCTTTTAATACATGTTAACCAGGAGTCACTCTCATTTATAATCACAGCATCGTCTGATAAAATCAACATGCATCTACACTAAAGAGCGGCTATGTGGTTGTTTTGGCTAGATTACTTTTTAATCTCATGCAGCGCACTGCCTGCGTCTGAGTAACAAACTAAAAAAACAACAAACTAAAAAGTGCATGTGATATTAACAGATGAACTACGCTCATATTTATAATTCCAAACAATCAGTAAGCGACAGGTGCTAGGAAATGCTGTTTTGTACTCATTTATTGAGGAGTCTGCTGCGGTGCTTCTCTGCCGCTCACTGCACAGAACACACGCCGAGAGAGGCGACACTTCTCCGGGAAAGTCAGACCTCGCGCTCGCGGGACAGCACTGGAGAAATCTTCCAATTAATTAATCAGACATGCTTTTTGATTACTAAAATTTTATGTAACCATTAAAGCAGAATTCAGAAAATTTGAAATGAAGAAAAAAGAAAATTAATCCAGAAAAGTTCAAATAGAACAAATAATTTAAGGGAAAAAAATACAGCAGAGTTTGGGGGGAAAACCCCTGATAAAAATCACAGTGAAAATCTTAAAACATCAGAAAACCTCCTCAGCCCAAACGAAAGGCAAAGCTCAAAGAGAGAATGAAAGCAAACGGGAAACACCACAAGAGAGAGAAACACAGATATACTGATGCACAACAGAGAGAGGAACTAAACCAGCAACATTTCTGCAACACTTCACAGACAGATAGAGAAAGAGAAAACTTTCACATCTAAGACGCAGAATGACCAGCAGGCTAACGTGACCGTTCCCGTTGAGCCTGAATGCCAACATCACGTCTAAAGCGTCACTCATGACATCCAGATGTGAGAGAACACACAAACACAGCTGGACGAAGGCAAACTCTGGTCAGAACCACAGCCACGTCACAAACGTTCAAACGCTTTCCTGCAGGACCTGACTGTGTGAACTTTATAGAGAAGTCAGAAAACTGTTTCTGACACAGAACACCCACAAAAACACTCATGCATGTGACACTTTACATTAAAGTGCCCAAGGAACTAGAATGAATTCCTGTTTTCAGGATCTGAATTGCAGTGAATGGGTGCCGTCAGAATGAGATTTCAAACAGCTGATAAAAACATCACAATAATCCACAAGTACTGCACACCACTCCAGTCCATCAATTAACGTCTTGTGAAGCCAAGAGAAACAAATCAATCAACGTGTTCTAACTTCAAACTGTTGCTTCTGGACAAAATATGAGTCCATGATCCATAATAATGCTTTCTCCAGTCAAAATGTGGCCTGGGCTGAATCAGGAGAGAAATCTGCACAGATCAAGCACCGTTCACAAGCCAAAACAGCTCTAAACAAACATGTCTGTGGATTTTGATGTGAGAGGACAAAAGAAAATTTACTTTTTCACTGGAGGAAGCATTATTATAGATTATGGACTCGTATTTTAGCCGGAAGCAAAGGTTTAAATAATGCCATGATGATGGATTTGTTTCTTACAAACACGCAGCTTTTGTCTTCTCCAGATGTTAACTGATGGACTGGAGTGCTGTGTGAATTATTGTGATGTTTTTATCAGGTGTTTGGACTCTCATTCTGACGGCACCCATTCACTGCGGAGCATCCATTGGTGAGCAAATGATGCAATGCTACATTTCTCCAAATCTGATGCAGAAACAATCTACGGATGGACTGAGGGTGAGCACATTTTCAGCAAATTTTCATTTGGCTGAACGACTCCTTTAAACCAGACATGCATTTATAATCGCACATTTACCAAAACACATGTATAAACCATCACACATGCTAGATATGCAATTATGCACCTCATATGCATTTACCAAAGTGCATCAGCCATCACTCGTGACCTTACTCACAATAACACATAACCAGACATGCATATCTAGTTGACAGATGATGAACGTATTTATCAACACACTGACCATCACATTTAGCCAGACATGCATCTATAAAGTTACCATCAATCCATAACCAAATATGGATTTGTAACCACCGCTGGCTCTGCACCCCTTTACCTAAATGCATTTCTTCAGACTTATGCTCCCTCTAGAAGTGAACTTTATTGTGCCATCCCAAAGAGGCACAAAACCACTTTCACTGCCTTTACATTAACCGTTCCCTCCTGGTGTAATGACCTGCCCACCTCAACCCCAGCATCTTCAAGAAACGGCTAAAAACACACCTCTTCCATCTTTATTTGACCCTCCAACTCTAGCACTATTCTAAATCTGTTTTATCTATTTGTTTTCTTTTTATAAAAGCCTTTAACTAGTTCTCTCCATTTGTTTTCTATAATTATATATAAAAACTTGCTACGTGTACTGTGTCAGACTAACTGAGACTTGTTATAGCACTTGCATATCATTGCTCCCATTGTCCAGAGACATAAAAGCATCTGCTAAATGACTAAATGCACTCACACATAACCCGCCACGCAGTCATCATGCATCACAACCACACACGGTGCATTGCTCACGCGCATCACCTGGATCAGACATGGTGATGGTCTCGTTGGGGTTGGAGGACCCCACGTTGAAGATGACCACTGCGGTCGCGTTTTTCCCCGCGGCGTGTCGGATCTTGTCTCTGTACGTGCAGTTCCCGCGGCTGATGAGCGCGATCCACGCGCCGTATCCGCGCGGCGTGAACCTGCTGTTGGGATCGCACGCGTGTCTGTCCTGCGGCGCGGCGGGCATCGCCAGCACGCCTCTGGCCTCGCGTTTGAGCGAGTGCTCCCCGTAACGCCCGCACTCCGTCTTCTCGGTGCGCACCTCGGCCGTGACCGGATCCACGTACGTGATGTTAACGAACGCCGTGTACCACTCCTCCTTCTCCGCCACCGTGAAGTCCAAACACAGCAGGTGGACGAAGCAGAAGGACAGCAGCCAGGTGGACAGGGCCAGACTACGACACGCCTGGATCACCGAGAGCGCCATAGCAGTGTTATTGTTACCGTTATGAAGAATCTAGCGGCCGTTACTCCATAATCTCCGTCTTACGCGGCGCGGTAACCGACACTCATGGTCAAACCGTATAAAACACTCGACGTAAAAGACCGAGTTTTGTGGTTAATAGCCTCTCGAGCCTGTTGCCTGTGCGAGAGGCGCGTTGGTTCGGGAAAAACGCGCGTAGAAGCGGCGCGACGGAGGCATGGCGTCGGATGTTTTCGGCCTTCGGCTGCTGTGACAATAATAACGGACCGAGCGCGAGCGAAACAGCGACCGCTAGCGGCGGAGCGATGATCTGCGCATGCGCGACACGCGTAAGGGAGCGTCGTGAAATAGCCTACACGCGTTGTTAGTGAAAGTTAGCCAAGAAACCATTTTCTAACTTGACTGTGCATTTGTTAGATTCAATATTGTATTAGAGTGAGTGTGTGGTGTTGGTGTGTTGCCACGAGGAAGAAAAATAACACGATGCAAAGTGTAAAACACATAAACAAACCTGTCGGCTGCGGTCACCTGGAAATAAAATAATTCCATGCTTAAAAGGTGTTAAGAGCGAAGTAAAGCTATTAATGCATACTAGTAAAGATATTAGGTAGTTTGTTGGTGGACCAAAATCTAAATAAAAGGAGAAAATAAGGCAAAAAATAATATTAAATCATTTTAAGTTTAAAATAAAGTGTTTTCTGTGATCTGCATGTCTTTTCTTTAATAAATACATTTAGGTAGTGCTGTCAAACAATTAATCGCGATTAATCGCATCCAAAATAAAAGTTTTTGTGTGCATAATACGTGTGTACTGTGTATATTTATTATGCATATACATACACACACATGCATGTATATATATATGCCAGAAAATGTAAAATAATTGTATTTATGTATGATATAAATTATATATTAATATAATTATATGTAAATATTTTTTACATGTATGTGTGTGTATTTATACATACTAATAAATATACACAGTACACACACACTTTATTATGTACACAAAAACTTTTATTTTGGATGCGATTAATCACAATTAATCGTTTGACAGCACTAACTTTAGTACATTCGGAAAAATTGCATAGTTGGATTATTTATTTAATTAATTAAAAATATAGTCAAAATAGTGAAATATTATTACAAATTAAAATAACCATGTTCTATGTGAATATAGTGTAAAATATAATTTATTCCTGTGATCAAAACTGTATTTTCAGCATCATTAAATAAAAGTTTTTGTGTGCATAATACGTGTGTACTGTGTATATTTATTATGCATATACATACACACACATGCATGTATATATATATGCCAGAAAATGTAAAATAATTGTATTTATGTATGATATAAATTATATATTAATATAATTATATGTAAATATTTTTTACATATATACATGTATGTGTGTGTATTTATACATACTAATAAATATACACAGTACACACACACTTTATTATGTACACAAAAACTTTTATTTTGGATGCGATTAATCACGATTAATCGTTTGACAGCACTAACTTTAGTACATTCGGAAAAATTGCATAGTTGGATTATTTATTTAATTAATTAAAAATATAGTCAAAATAGTGAAATATTATTACAAATTAAAATAACCATGTTCTATGTGAATATAGTGTAAAATATAATTTATTCCTGTGATCAAAACTGTATTTTCAGCATCATTACTCCAGTCTTCAGTGTCACATGATCTTCAGAAATCAGTATAATATGCTGATCTGCTGCTCGAGAAACATTTATGATTATTATCAATGTTGAAAACAGTCGTGCTGCACAATATTTTTGTGGAAACCGAAATACATTTTGTTTTCAGGATTCTTTGAAGAATAAAAAGTTCAAAGGAACAGCATTTATCTATCTATCTATCTATCTATCTATCTATCTATCTATCTATCTATCTATCTATCTATCTATCTATCTATCTATCTATCTATCTATCTATCCGTCTATCAATCTATCCATCTATCTGTCTATCAATCTATCCATCTATCTATCTATCTATCTATCTGTCATCTATCTATCTGTCTGTCTGTCTGTCTGTCTATCTATCTATCTATCTATCTATCTATCTATCTATCTATCTGTCTATCAATCTATCCATCTATCCGTCTATCTGTCTATCTGTCTATCTATCTATCCGTCTATCAATCTATCCATCTATCCATCAATCTATCAATATATCTATCCATCTATCCATCTATCTATCTAGCTATCTATCTATCTATCTATCTATCTGTCTATCCATCTATCTGTCTATCTGTCTATCAATCTATCTATCTGTCTATCAATCTATCTATCTATCTGTCTATCCATCTATCTATCTATCTGTCTATCAATCTATCTATCTGTCTATCCATCTATCTATCTATCTGTCTATCAATCTATCTATCCATCTATCTGTCTATCTATCTGTCTGTCTGTCTATCTATCTATCTATCTATCTATCTATCTATCTATCTATCTATCTATCTATCTATCTATCTATCTATCTATCTATCTATCTATCTAATGCAGTTCATTATCTCCAGCAGAGAGCGCTGTCTCACACTATTTCCATTCTGACCACACTAAGAGGATTTTGATGAAGAAGTGTAATTTCCTCTATGTTTCTTTGATGTAAACATTCAAGACCACTGAACTTTAGGTAGTTTATTCAGAGGAAAAGCTGTCCTGTTATAGCGCTCTCTTAAATATGTGTTTGGGGGCCCCTTCAGACAGGGGAGTTTCCTCAGCTATATTTAGACATCCTTCATAATGTCACTGTCATTTCAGGAGTGTGTTGTTAAAGATCAGCCTCTCATGCACAGCGGGGAATCCACAACAGATTGCATTGACATTTACACACAGGTACAGCAATTCTTCAAAGTTCTGGTGCGAATGAATGAAAGACACATGGTGAGTGTAAGAGAACTAGTTAAAAATAAATCCAGTGGTCAGGGCGGCATCACCAACTACGACACTAACCCACATAAAATCACCATTTTAGTTCAAGTTCAAGTCTGCTTTATTGCCAATTCTTCCACATGTACAGGACATTTACAGAGTGTATCAAAAAGCTTGACATGAAACACACTTTCAAACTGTCTTTTGGGTGAGTAATCTCCTCATACTCATATACTCATACAACCTTAACTAACTAAACTACAAAAATAGTTTCTCAGTTATCCAAAATCAAAAGAACATTGATATAAATCCACTTTTCTAAAGGATTCAAGGCTCCTTACACTCTCAGAAAAAAAGGTATAAAAGCTGTCGTACCTAAAAGGGTGGTACCTTTTCAAAAGGTACACTTTTGTACCTTTTAGGTACTAATTTGTAGACTTTAGGAAATTACGACACTAACCCACATAAAATCACCATTTTAGTTCAAGTTCAAGTCTGCTTTATTGTCAATTCTTCCACATGTACAGGACATTTACAGAGTGTATCAAAAAGCTTGACATGAAACACACTTTCAAACTGTCTTTTGGGTGAGTAATCTCCTCATACTCATATACTCATACAACCTTAACTAACTAAACTACAAAAATAGTTTCTCAGTTATCCAAAATCAAAAGAACATTGATATAAATCCACTTTTCTAAAGGATTCAAGGCTCCTTACACTCTCAGAAAAAAAGGTATAAAAGCTGTCGTACCTAAAAGGGTGGTACCTTTTCAAAAGGTACACTTTTGTACCTTTTAGGTACTAATTTGTAGACTTTAGGAAATTAACCTTGGTTTTACTACAACAACAAAAAAGTAACTATTAAACCATGGTAACCACAAATTAACCATGGTTTTGCTACACTAACCATAGTTTAACCATGGTGTTTAGTAAAAATTAAGCGTTAGCGTTAGTTCTGGCAGGTCACGGGAGTCAAGCTTGCATCAGCTGATTCTCAGCTGATCACATCTACCTATAGGAATACGACACCTATCACGACATTCCTATATAAGCTCTATTCGGTATTATTCAGCAGCTTTTCAGCTTGCTCAGGAGCAAATTACCCTCCTCCATCCCCAGCTCCTCCTTTCGCCACAGTCAGGACTTGGCTTTCTGATGTTCCTTGCTACACACTAACACATACATTAATGATATCTGCCTTGTTCTGTTCTGTTAACCCTAGGGGGGTTATTATCGCTGCTCTCCCTGCTCATTCATGACAGGCTGCATGGATGGGTAGGGAGTTTTTTGCCCAGAACAGAACCATAACGCCAAACCAAACTTTATGCTAAGTATCTATCATTTTGACGATAGTGGTCCTGACAGAACTGGTTATACAAGTGGTAAACAATAGGCCAAAATATATTGTTACTACACCTTTACCATGGTTAATTTTCTTAAGGGATTTGTATCTATACTTTTTTCATTTGTTTTGTTTTTATAACTGTACTACCTTAATGGTTTGCCGTTTTGTACTGTTTGATTAAAAAGAAAGAAAGATTAGCGATCCGCTCTATGAAGTTCCCATCTAAATCAAGTGAGTCGCACTCAGCGCTCCCAAGTCACGATCTGAATAACGATTCGCGAATTTGGGATCAGGACTTCAGAGCACATATCACGAATCTTTCAATTCGATAAATGATTTGCGAACCCGCTCCAAAGTTCTGATCTAAATCAAATTATTTGCGATCCGTGCTCCGAAGTCCCGGTCTGAATAATGATTCACGAATTTCAGATCGGGACTTCGGAGCACACATCACAAATTTTTCGACTCGCGAAATGATTCGCAAATACGCTCTGAAGTTCCAATCTAAATCAAATGATGCGTGATATGCGCTTTCAAGGGATAGTTCACCCAAAAATGAAAATTCTGTAATTAATTAAGCCTTCGTTCATCTTCACAAATTAAGATATTTTTGATGAAATCAGAGAGCTTTCTGACCCTGCACAGACAGCAACATAACTGAAATGTTCATCATGTGACATCAGTGGTTCAACTGTAATTTTATGAAGCTTTACGAATACTTTTTGTGTGCAAAGAAAACAAAAATAACGACTTTATTCAACAATTCTTCTCTCTGCATCATTATCGGCCGCCATTATCGAGAGTAGCACGACGCTTGAGCTGCGCCTTGTTTACGAGCCAAAGAATGCACATGCATGTTCAATTCAATTCAGTTCCAGTTTATTTGTATAGCGCTTTTCACGATACAAATCGTTGCGAAGCAACTTTACAGAAAATTAAGTTTCTACAATATTTAGTAGTAGCTTATCAGTGTCGTGGTACTCTCAAAAGAGAATAATTGTTATTTTTGTTTCTGGATTGCATGAAGAATAGGACAT